AAAAAAAAAAAAGGTAGTATTTTATTAATATGAATGTGGTCCTGAAAGGTAAAGCCAATCAGAATAATGAGGCTCAAAGAACATAAGTGCTGAGAATAGAATTTTAGATTTGAATTTTAGATTCATTTGAGTATCCAGTTCATTTCTGTATTATGGCTTCCCCAAACTCAGGTCACCCTGACACACAGGTGCAAATGGTAACAGCTTAATTTTTAACTGCTTAACCACAATCACATGATATTCCTCAGTTAAGCAAAAATATGGTGGGAGAAGCTTCCCTCCAGGGGCCGTGCAGAAACTGTGGGACCCGACCACACGGTGAATACGCTGGTGGTCTCCACAGAGGTACCGGGCCGTCTGTAACGTGCCCTTTGGTATGACTATTTAAAAGCTCACTTTAAATTACAAAGAATTAAACATCTACAGAGCAGCTCACGTAGCCTCAAATTCTGCAGAAATTTGGAAACCATCACTCTCGGTTGTAAATTCCTCCTCCAAGAGAAGCCACTGTTGTACCTAAGGTAGGTGAGGAGGAAAGTGGGGCAGGCCTGGGAGCCGGGGGAGTTGGCAGGAATTGGAGAAGCGAGCTGAGGAACAGTCCACAACCCCACACGGTGTTGCACCTGCCAGCAGCAAGGGACCCAGAGTCCATCTGGTCCAGGCCCCCGCCTTTGGGTGTCTGGATGGCCCCATCTTTCAGCTCTGCCCCTCTTTCCTTTGCAGACAAGATGCAGCGACTGTGTGTGTACGTGCTGATCTTGGCGCTGGCTCTGGCCACCTCCTCTGAAGCTTCTTGGAGGCCCCGCTCCCAGCTGCAGGAGGCACCCTCGGATCCAGGGGCAAATAGGGGCCTGGAGCCACGCTGGGTGGACCGGCTGGGCGCAGCCTCTCACCAGCGAAGGCAGCTAGGGCTCCAGGGTCCCCCACAGCTGGTGGCAGGTAGGAGCTGTGACAGCTGTCCCTGCTTGTCTCGCCCAGCCAAGGTTGACCCTGGCCTTGGTCTCCAGCGGCTAGATGTCCTTCCCATATCCTCATGTCCTCTCCCCGCTCTGACCCTCAGACCTGTCCAAGAAGCAGGGACCGTGGGTGGAGGAAGAAGAAGCAGCTTACGGATGGATGGACTTCGGCCGCCGCAGTGCTGAGGAAGGGGACCAGCGTCCCTAGAACGGAGCTTCAGAGCCCAGCCATCTCCCAGCCCAGCCCAGCCCCATGAAAAACCACTCAAAATAAATTAGCTTCCAATGGATCACATTGTGTCAAGTGTGGGGCAGGAGAGGGGAGTTAGTGGGGACAGGGCTGAGGCAGTGGGGAGAACTGAGCACTCTCCTGGGGGCAGGGACCATGACTCATTCTTCTGGGTGTCCCCAGAGCCTAACACTGACCCCAAATCTACTAGTGCAGGTGGCAAATGGTGGTGGGGTCACAAGCAGAGTCAGCTTTCTAAAAGATAAATCAAACGGTGCCACTCCAGGTTTTAACCCTCCAATACTTCCTGTCACACTTAGAATAAGACCTAAACTCCTTGCCAAAGCCCTAAACTAGCCCTGCTGTCCTCAGGGCAGGTGCCATGTTCCTTCCTCCTCTCTCCCTTTTCCCTTACACAAATGCACCTGCACTCGGTCCTGCTCAGAACATTTGTCCTCGCCATTCCCTGTGCCCCGAAGGCTTTTCCCAGGCACAAACATGGCTGGCTCCCCTTTTTCTCCCTGGGGTCCTGGCTGAAACGCCTCTTCCTGAGAGACCCACCTGCTCTTCTCCTTCCGCTTCATACACAGCACCCGGTTCTCTCTAACGGCCCCAGAGTCTCTGACGTTGCTCTCTAGAGCACATTTCACACCCTGTCATTGTCTCGTTAGCTACTTTACTGTCCGCCTCCCCGGTTAGAAGGGCAACTCTGTAAGAGTGGGGACCACACGTCCCTCTTCCCTGCTGTATCCCTGGTTCCAAGAACGGGAGGTATCCAATAAAATATTCGTCAGATGGCCGGGTGAGTGGCCAGCACGGGCACTGTTGATGCTTCACCCATATTCCCTCCTAGTTCTCTGCCTGTCAGCAGCATCCTTCCACAAGCACATGCCACTGTTCCCCCGAGGGCCTTCCGAGTGCAAGGCAGGCTTCAGATGCTGCAGAGTTAGCACCTCCAGAAGCAGCTATGAGTCAGTGACAGATGAGAGCGGGAGAATCAATACCCCAGCTCCCTCACCCCTCGGGCGGGGTGACTCGGACATGTATTCAGCTCTGTCTCCCAGAATTCCCCTGCAGGACTGAGCCCCACTTACCCACAGCAGGTACCTGCTCGAGGACATCCTTTGTTGACTGCCCTCCCTTCCCTGTCTCGCTTCTCAAGATCTGCCCCTGCCTCCCTTCAGGGTTTCCACACTAAAAACTAGGGTCAAGTCTTAGGATGTGCAGAAGCACTGTCCCAAACATGGGGGAAAAGGGATTATTCACCCGAAATACTGCAGGACCTGAATAAGCCGGATAACATGTCACAGCAGGAACCGGGAGAGCACACAGGAGGGGATTTTCAAGGCTGGCAGACCAAGGAGGCGGGCTGGAGACTGGATAGGGAGAGTTTGTTGATATGGGAGAGGGAGACAGTCTCCCATTACTCAGGCTTTCAGCTCCTGGCAAGGACACACGCAGCCAGTCCTAATGCCTTGCTGGGAGCGACTCCCTGAAAGTCTGTAACAAGTGAAGTGCCCGAACTTCCCCAGCAGAGGACCGGCGAAGGAGTCAAAAGACGGGTAGGCATGTTAGAATGAGTTGTCGAGTCAGACAAGAGCATCCACCACATGATTACAGTCCCTGCAAGGGTCCAGAGAACAGCCCTTTCCCGGAGGACATAAGGAACCTGTTAGTGAGGACAAGTAAGGATTGTTGAGCTCAGCGGAGGTTGTCCTCTGTGGGCTGGGGTTGATGTAGGAGACACTCCTGTGGCCGCAGGCTACTTAGTGTCAGTGGGGATGAGAGGATTGCAGGACAGAGGGGACCCGGCAGCAGCACTTAACCCTCGGAGGCAAGGTGGACATAATTACCAGGGGGCCTTAACCCACAGGGTTTGCAGCGGTGGCTCAGACCATGGTGCCCCTAAACTTGAGATCTGGGGCACCTGGGTGGCTCAGTCGTTAAGCGTCTGCCTTCGGCTCAGGTCATGATCCCAGGGTCCTGGGTTCGAGCCCCACATCGGGCTCCCGGCTCAGCAGGAAGCCTGCTTCTCCCTCTCCCGCTCCCCCTGCTTGTGTTCCCTCTCTCGCTGTCTCTCTGTCAAAATAAATAAATAAAATCTTTAAAAAATAAAAAATAAAAAAAACTTGTGATCTACGGGTGGCCAAGAAGGGCACTGTTTACCTTATACAAGGAGAATGGATCAAGAGCAAATGAGCCCAAGGCTGATGTCAGCTGCCAAAATGGAAAATCATGATCCATTGCCTGGTTTACAAATCTGTATCAATTCTCAGAAGTTGCCATTTATCAGTGTAATTGTACACTGGGGAAGGAGGCACACCCAGATATTTCAAAAGCCGTCGTGTAGGGGCACCTGGGTGGCTCAATCCTAAGCGTCTGCCTTCAGCTCGGGTCATGGTCCCAGGGTCCTGGGATCGGGCCCCACATCGGGCTCCCTGCTCAGCGGGAAGCCTGCTTCTCCCTCTCCCACTCCCCCTGCTTATGTTGCCTCTCTCACTGTGTCTCTCTCTGTCAAATAAATTAAAAAAAAAAAAAAAAGCCGTTGTGTACAGGGCCTGAGCTGCCACACCAGAGAACCCCAAATGCCATCACGCCTCCACCCACATTCAAGAGAGAGTGCATTTTGGCGCCTCGCCTGGCTGGCTCAGTCAGTACAGCATGGGACTCTTGATCTCAGGGTCGTGAGTTCAAGCCCCACATTGGGCTCCATGCTGGGCATGGAGACTACATGCATACATACATAAAGTGTAACCATTTAAAAATATCCATTCCTGCATGTGCTGTCCATGGTCCACTAGAAGCATCAATAGTCTTGGGGCGCCTGGGTGGCTCAGTCGGTTAAGCATCTGACTGATTCAGCTGTCATCGGGTTCTGCGTTCAGCAGGGAGTCTGCTTCTCTCTCTCTCCCTCTGCCCCTCTCCCTGCTCACACTCTCTCTCTCTAAAATAAATGATTAAATCTTTAAAAAAAATTCTCTGCCAGGGGGCTTTTCCTTACCCACACATGGGGCACAGAGTGTGATGTTAATGCCCAAGGCTTTCAGTGACAAATGTCAGCTGGGCGGTGCATGCCCAGCTTCCTCACCCCTTGAGTGGGATAACTGAGACGGCTCCATCTCAGTGGGTCCCAAACTTTACCATGCACGTGCATTCCCTGGGGTCCTTGTGACCATACAGATTCTGACTCTGTTAAGTCTGGGGTGGGACCTGAGAATCTGCATTTCTGACAAACTCCCAGGAGATGCCGATGACGCTGGTCCACAGACCACACCCGTGTACCAAAGGGCTATACTTCTTCCCAGAGTTCCCCAGTAGGATTAAGCCCCAGTGACTAGCACACCCTTTTCCTTCTCAATTCCTCCACAGGCAGGGAGGCGGGGAGGAGGCCCCCAGGGGACAGAGGGACCCCTCACCCACACTCCCCCCAGGAATGCTTTCTGGATCAGCTTCCAAACAAACCACTTGTTTTCAAATGCTGTTGCAGGTCTGAGGGCCCTCTACCTAAGACAGTGGGTGACTCTCACCCATGCCTTACCCCTCACAGCCAGGGCACTGGGCCAGAATCCCTGGAGCAGAAAAATAGGGAAGGGAGTCTCTCTGAGCACAGACTCAGGAGGCCTGAGAGCTTGGGTTCACATCCCAGTTCCGCAGCTCGCTCTCAGACCCTTGGGAGGGTCACTTAACCTGCCTGGGCTTGTTTCCTCCTCCGACAACTGTTTATCAGATCACCCACCACTCCACAGGGGTTGTTGATGTGACCAGGTCATGTATTTAACAAAAGTCCGTGGCACATGATGCCCATCGTATTGGAGCCCATCGTCTCTCCACAGCTTTGCCCCAGCAGAGCTGCAGGCACGCGCGCACACTCCCAGAGAAGGACGCCGGAGCGCGGGCCAGGTAGTGCACAGGTCCTTTATTTCCTGCACTGGCAGGTGTACGGGCCGACAAGCAACAGAAGAACAGAAGAGCGAGTAGCACAACAGGGGGCAGGGCCAGACCAACGGGGGTCCTAAGCCCCAGACTCCAGCTGTTTACGAGTAAAGAGTGGGAAAGGGCAGGACATCTGGAATGAAGAAACGAGGAGCACTGAGGGGAGGACAGCAGGGAGGGAGTGACTTGGGCGGGGAGCCTGGACACTCAAGGGCCACAGGCAGGGAGGCGGGGAGGAGGCCCCCAGGGGACAGAGGGACCCCTCACCCACACGTATAGACACTCTTGGTTACCAACAGTAGTGAGGGACTGAGAAGGAAGGGCCAAGAATGGAGGAAGAGGGCCAGGTCCCTGAAAGTCAGCAAGGACTCAGGGGCCACCTTTAACTTGGGGGTCAAGGGCATGTTGTCAGGAGGGTCGTCAGAACACCTTCCCGCACCAGGGCCCGAGCCCCACCCCCAGCCCAGCTCAGAGCCTGGTCAGGCAGCTGACAGGCCTCCCCCCGGGGCTTCCACCAGCCCCTGGGCTAGCATGTGACTCCAGCCCCAGCTGCCACAGATTTTGCACCCGCTGCAGAGCAAGGGCCGGGGTCCCCTAGCTCAGAAAAGTCCTCAAGCCCCAGCCCAGGTTCATCAGGATGGAAGGTGCACTGGCGACAGACAGGAGGGTCCCGTTTGGGAGGACAGGAAGGAGGTTTCTGGGGCAGGTGGGACTTGGCCAGGCGGCTGAAGGAGGGGCCTCAGGCTGTCTGTGGGGCCTCTGCAGGCTGCTGGGACACAGCAAAGCCTGGAAGAGAAGGGGAGTGGAGGTGAACTGGGGGCCTGGAGAGTGGGCAGGGGCTGAGGCCTTGTCAGCTATATGAGAAAGACAGCCACGACTGATCGTTGTGCAGGCTGCCCACCGGCCCGCCATAGAGGTCACTGTTCAGTATACAAACTGCACAACCTTCCATGGTGACCCTGATGAGGCTGCCCAGCAGTGACCAAAGCGCCCTCAGAGTGGGGGCAGGCCACCTACGATGGTGAGGCTAGCAACAGGCTCTAAATTTCACAGCTGGCTGAGCGGGCTAGGCAGGCACCAGGACAGGGTCGGAGGGGAGGGATAGGCCAGGAAAGTCATTATGGCATAGCAGTGAACGGAACAGGCTCAGATCCACCCCAACTGTGTGACCTCCAGCGAGTTACTTTAGCTCTGTTCTCACCTAACAAAGGGGGACAAGAACTCCTACCTACAGGGTGTGACAACTAAAGGAAAAAATGCGTCTCTGTGAGCTCCCTGAAGGCAGCCTGCATTCAGTAGGTGTAGCTCCCCAAACCTTGGGGTTTCTAGCTGGGGAGAGGAGACCCTGACCCACCCCCCACCACCCTGGAGGAGACCCTAGCCCATCTTCAGACTCACCCAGGGGACTGGTCCGACCACCCTTGCTGGCAGAGGCCTTTGTCCCAATGGCCTGGGTGGCCCCAGAACACCCCCGTCCTCCTCCCAGGCCCTGGGAGGGTGGTTGGCCCTGTCCTCCTCCAGTCTCTGGAAGTCCTGGGTCAGCACCCGAGGCTGCTGCTCTGCCGCCCCACCCCCCACATTGTCTTGGCCTGCTGCTGCCACTGGTGCAGGGTTGGGGAGCCTTGGGGCTGGGGGCGGCAGAGACAGGAAGCTGAGGTGGAACGGAGGGCAGCAGTCCCGGTCTTGACCCCCAGCCCAGCCTCCCAGGAGAAAAGGGGGTAGAGCTCTGGAATCTTATGCCAATTCCACATAAATGAGCCCTGGGGCCACAGATCCCCGGTGCCTATGGAAATGATATGCAAAGTCCATGCAAATCAGCACGCTGGGTGGGGCCTGGCCGGGGTAAGTGAGCACCTGGGGGGCTCACCTACCCTCCCCTTTCATCGGCTTGATGATCTGCAGCTTGTCCGGCTGGCCAGAGGGAGGCCCCTGCGGGAGCACTCACCTTCCTGGAGCATCTTCTGCCTCAGCTGCTACCTGTACCCCGAGTCCTGCCAGTTAGCCAGCTGCCGGAGGACACGCCTCATGCTGAGGTGAGAGGGGCCCAAGCCGCTGGCTGCCCGGGTTGAGGTCACTGCGTTCGTCTGCGTCGCCTCATCCAGCTCCGGCTCTACCTCCTCCCAGGCCTCAGCCTCCTCCGACACCAGCTCCGCCTCTTCTGTCAACCCCTCCTCAGCTGACACCCTCTCTTCTGTGGCCCCCCGCTCCTCCTCCGAAGGCACAAAGTCCTCTGCTGTCATTAACCCCTTCTCAGCCTCGAACCCCCGTTCCTGCTCTCGTGCCTCACCGCAGCACAGCTTGTACCTGGCCAGGGAGACAGGAACGTCCTTCTGTGCCCCTGAAAGCCAAGCGCAGCCAGGGCCCCCGGCCCCATTCTTCCGCTCCCCAGGGACACCTCCAGCCACCAGGGCTGAGGAGCTCCCCTGCTCTCTGCCCCAGTCTACCCACAAGACCCGACGGCTACACCCCACTTCTGTCCCAGCCAGGGGAAAGGGGAGCTGGGTACCAGCCTCCAGGCTTCAGACACCCAGCCCAGGCTTACCTTCTCCCAGGTAAGAAGGAGGGAGAATGGTCACCCACACTGCACAAGCCCTGCCTTCCCCTGGTACACCTCCCCGCCACACACCCCCCCCGCCCCGCCCCGTGCACAACCCAGAGCCGCAAGGATAATATTCTTCTCCATGATCTAACCTTCACAGCCCAGCCCACAGCTAGTTGCCCCATAGGAACAAATCCATTTTAGTAAGGCTCAGACTGGTCAAGCAGTTCGCCCAAGGACACACAGCCAATTAAAGGGATCAAGTGGGGACTCAAGTCCCAGACATTCCCAGCTCCTGGGCCAGTGCTCATTCTCCTCTCAGTCTCTGGTGAGGTGAAGGGAAGGCTTCAGTCCCCACTGGGAACAGCCTAAGTCAGATGGCCAACTATGGGGCAAGATCAGAAGGAAAAGGGGGCCGCCCCTTCCCAGAACACCTCAGCCCAGCCAGCCCAGAGAGTGGGGCGTTCTCCAGGGTGGCAGGGTCATAGACGGTTGTCTGGCTGCTGAAAGTGAGGGCGGTGATGGGGGAGCCCCTGGCCAGCTTACCCCAGGTGTGACATCTCCTCTGCAGCAGTTCCGTGATTCCTTCAACAGAGAAAAGGGCCATCACCTTCCCAAGGCAACATTAGCTGAAACTGCAAAGTCCCTGGGGCCCCAGCATGGAAAAAATCCCAGGGAAAAATGAGGGGCCCACACACGTGGACAGAAGAAAGGGTGTGGGGGGAGGGGACGGGGCAGCTAACAAGGGGGCGTCACAAGTGAAGGAAGAAGTCAGAAGCAAACCCCCTCCACGCTCCGGGCAGGTGAGTGTGCGTCAGGTGAGGGCCTGGGGGCCCCAGCACCACACCTTTCGATAAAAAACACAGGGTCTGAGATAATCCTCCTTATAGACATTCTGAGCTCCTCGGCCAGGGTCTCCTGGAAACCAGGAAGGGCCTCCTGTGGTGGAGAGGTGGATATTAGCAGGGCATGCCCACAGGGCATGCCCTGGAACTCCAACGCCTACTTCCAGGGCATGCCCTGGAACTCCAACCTCTCTACTTCCAGGGACAGAAAGGGACGGGGGATGGAAATCAGCCAGCAGGGCTGAGGCATGAGCACACAGAGGGCAGGAGGCGGGCGGCTGGGGGTCCTCACCACGGGTACAATGTATGTGTAGTGGGTGACAGGGCCAGTGGACACTGGGGCTCGCTGGCGGAGGGTCTTCGTCTCCTCCTGGGCCTCAGTCAGCATGCCCCCACACTCCGTGTACCTCTCCCGCAGGTCCTGCAGCTGGGAAGCCACCTGCAGGTTCTGTTGGGACCCAGGCGCACCCGCCCAGCACACCCTGCCCACCCTCTCCCCAGCGTGCCAGGAAGCCTGGGCTAAGAGGCAAGCGGCCCAGTCTCTAGACCCACATAATGACATGCAGGGTGCCCCCGGCAGGTCCCTGGACTCTACTCCACTCAGACCCCAACTGAACCTGCCAGGCCCCTCGCCAAACACCCAGGGTGTGCAAAGGGACAGACCCAGAGCCTGCTCAAGGAGCTCGTCCTCCCAGGAGAGTCAGCCAGCTGACCAAGGGCCTTGAGTTCCCAGCTCTGGGCCAGGGGGAGCTTCACCTCATCCTGGAGCTGCATCTGGATTTCCTTCTCCGAAGCCAGCTGCCGTTGCAACTTCTCCGTCTGGGCTCCATACTGGAAGGACCGAGACTGGTCAGCCAGACCCGAGATCAGTCAGCCTCACCCGAGGCCTCCCTACCACCTCCAGCAAGTCTTCCCAGGCACATAGCTGAGCCTTTGGCAACCCCTGAAGCAAGAAGTCACATGGAGGGCGCCTGGGTGGCTCAGTTGGTTAAGCGACTGCCTTCGGCTCAGGTCATGATCCTGGAGTCCCTGGATCGAGTCCCGCATCGG